CATACGGAAAACCATGCGGTGCTTCCAAGCTCAAGGAAATGATATGATGAAAAATGTGTTAGCACAAGAGGTACTTCTAAATAAACAATAATATGAATGAAATGAAATGAAATGGAAAAAAAAGAAAAGAAAAGAATTCATGTTTCATTTGTTTTCATTGTTTAACATTGTAGTTACAAATGAGAATTTATAATTTATAACTTAAAGACAAAATATGTGAAAAAAACATTTATGTACATATAATGTAAAATTCAAACCAATGTGTATATTTTTGTGCTGTAAGTGTAAAAAAATAATGTGTTTTGAAATTCAATTTTGTAAATGTAAATATACATTGAATCCTGTAGCTGGATATTCAATATAGAGGTTTGGCAAAACAAATGATGAACTTTGAAAAAACTTGGGTAACTGAATGGGCACAATCAGTAAACAGTCAAATACTCTTTTATTTGAAGCAAGTAAGAAATTTCTTTCACTTTACTAGCAATTTGTTCTTTCATGTGCTGCATTCATGAAATTCTACAGAAGAATATATTGCATGTGGAATACAATGTTGTGTGTGAATGTGAGTGTTGAGGATGTGGAATTGACATGAGTTCATGGCATGGCTAATCAATGCTGGGTGGGGGTGGAACAGCCCATATTGAGCAAAGGCAATGGGGTGGTGATAGAAGTAAATTTCAGCAGGGCATTGGTCCAAATCATGAGTGAAATTAAGTACTTGGATGCCATGGGTTTTCATCTGCCTGAATTTGCACTGAGCATAACTCTGCAAGAAGACAAATATGCTCTTGACATAGAAGGTCTCCTTACCGTGGTCCAGGTGAAGCCACACATCCTCCCTTCCCTCCTCCTCTGATCACATCCTGCACTCCACAGCATGAGAGCAGGCAGCAGCAGCAACAACACTGAAATATCTATACAGCACATCCTATGCAGACCTTGAAATGTCTGAGTGGATGGGATTGCAGATATACCATAGCACACTGAGCATGATGAGCCCCACAGAGGCCATGCTGTTGAAGCCCCAATTGAACTTGTTGTATCATGTTCTGGACCCAGGCTTTGCCTACCTCACCTGGAATGCTCTTGGCATTGCCAGCTTTGTCCACATGTGCATCTCTGCTATCAATGAATTCCGCAATGTTGTCCACCAGGTGCTCTTTCTTACTCATCATCGTCTGTGCTTGTATGCTTCCAGTCTGTATACACAAGTATTCATCTATCTATCTATCTAAGTATGTATGCATATTCTACAAGATCATTGTGGAAAATTGACTTGGATGAACATTTAGTGACTTCAAAATCTTCATTAACTGAGAGTTAGACAGAATGAATAGCCAGTCTTAACAGTTACAAATCAACTTAATACAAAGTTTTTACATTCCTAGCATTGTTTAAAGTTGACCTTCCAAATATCTATATGTTGATGCTCATGAGCAGCATTTTGAATGTTCACAAGGAATTATTTTTGGTGCTGCAATTAGGTGCAAAGCAACACATCCAACATAGAAAAGTGTATAGATAAAATCAGTAAAACCAAATTGATTCCAACAATGCCAACTATGACAGAGGGTGAAATGCTAGATTTACAGGTTGTGATGACATGATGTATTTCATTTTTTAAATAATGTACACAAGATGTTTCAAGTGAATTCCTAAGAAAATAAAATTTTCATAAAAAAACCTATAAATTCACTTCTTGATTATGCATTTGATAACCTGTTTATTGTTAACATGATTGGAAACTCACATACCAAATAGATTTTCCAAAATTCTCTTCAAAAAAGATTATGAGATCATAGAACCATATTATACATGTCTATGTGTGAAAGAGTTTTCAATAAATAGGAGATAAATGTGGTAGATAGAGTAAGAATTTTGAATTCATTGGGATTTTAGTCACTTGCTTGCTGATGAAAGACCATTTTCTTTTGGTTCTGAAAGAGAATTAAAACTGAATCCTTTGTGTATGCAGGAATTCTTTGAACAAGTTGAACATGATAGGAAATTGGTTTTGGATGAATTGGTTGGCCAGTAAGACCTTTAAACAAAAATTCAACTTTTGGAATAATCAATTCTATACCACATGCAATGTAAACTTGATTTCAATACATGATTGTGAACATTGACCATTCCATGTTTTATGTACTGGTCTTAGTATTGGTTGCTTTCATTAAATCCCTTGCTTTAATAGTTGCATGAATGTTTAGCATCAATAAAATAAACTACATTTTTCTTTCTTCTTTAAATAGACATTTTTTATTAAAAAAACATTAAAAAAATTAATTACTTGGTAATGATTTTTTTTATTTAAGTTTGTGACAGGTATCGAGCTATTGTTCCTCTTCTCAAAAAGATTGAAGATATTGTATTAGGAACAAGCACAGGTGCAGCTCCTTCATTGGCTACATATTATACATATTGGGAAAAGAAAATACACCAAGCTTTAAATTTAATGGCACTTCATGGCTTGGGTGCTTTGCAAACTTTGTTCTGGGAAAGTTTGGAACGAAAGGTAAATTATTCCTTTCTTTTTAACAAATACTACTCATTTGTTACAACTTCCATGATTACTTTCCATGCTAGAGGTTAGAATTATATATATATATATATATATATATATATAGTGAAAATGCTTAATTGGAGGTAAGAGTCTACAATCCAAACTGTTGTGTTTTGATATGAAGGACTTTAAAACATCTTTCTAATTTTTTTTAAAGATAGGTACCTACTGCAAATAAACATGGTAGGTGCATAAGATTATTCAAAGTAAGCTGCTATCTGAACCACCCAGATGTGGTAGTCCAGCCTGCGATCCTGGACATCACCAAAATTTTGGCAAGAATGGTAAACATCTTTCATCTAAATACTTGAATTATTTGGTTTGCTCCTGTATATCTCTGGAACAAAATAATACATAGAAACTTAAGTACTCGATTCACTCATATAGTGATTTGTCTTCATTATTTGTTGGGATTGTAGAAATATATCATTCACCGAATATGATCTCTAAATTTAGGTGAAAACCTTAATTAAATTTCGTACAGGTTCGAAACACTGTAGATTGTTTGAAGAGTTTTATTAGATGGATGGATGGTACATGCTTAGAAACTCCCGAACAGGTAATTTAATTAATTATTTTTGCCACTATGCTCCTTTTAATTTCTCTTTTCATTTAACTAATTATGCTTTCTACCCAAGCAAATATATACACACGTTTGTTACATAATCATTTTTTTAACTTGTAACACATAATATTTATTTTTTGGGGGTATTTGCGAGGTCACTAGAAAATTGGTGCTGAAGATGACGTGCCATATCTTTTTACTTTTTACAATGATGTAGCATCCAATCCACAGGTTAATTTGTTGAATTTTTCTCCAAACTATGTTTGATGCTGACTTATTATGTGGATGAGTTGTTTGAGTTGATTTTTTTTAAAAAAAATAACACACAAAATCTTATCTGGATTACAGTTGTTTTCTTGATGTCAAAATTTCATGATTTTGTATATTTACAGCCAAAAATGTGTAAAATAGATTCAGAATCCATCAGTTCCACAACAATGCAACTTGAAGATTATTGTAATGTAGGGCAGATAATAAAATCAATACTTACATTGAACAACATGATACAAAAAGCAATTCAAGGAATACAGAAGCATCTTGAAAATTGGCGCAAATATCAACTATTGTGGAAGCAAGATAGAGTTGCAATTATTAACAAATTGATTTCCAAGGCTCCACCAACTTTGTTTTTTGAAAGAAAGTTAGAAAAATACATGAGGGTATCAAAGTTCAAATTTATCTACTGTTGATTATGTGTATATATGTACACACATACACACATTAACTACAAATGCATACTTACAAAGGGTAATTTCTTTTCAGATAGATAGCATTGTATTTGGATGTGCTATTTGCAGTCTGATATGTATATATGTATTTGTGGGATGAGGGAGAGCAGATGGCAACCAATATAGATGCCATTCCAAAGGACAAGTCAGTGGAGTTTGTGTGTGTGAGTTCACATCAGTTGGGGGCAGCAGTGAGGGCAGAGACTATGGCTTGGGTGCAGGCCCTGGGGGATGCCATGGTGGCCTTAGAGCATCCCAAAGTGAGGGCCATCACTGACCAAATGAACAAGTGGCAGTCACTTATGGATGTGGTATCCTCATCAATTGCCTTAATAGCACACACACTCACACTCTCATCCAACTCTCTCTTTTCATAATCTATTGCTCTTGTTTCTCTTAACAGATGTCCTTCTTGTAGCATTGAAGGAAAAAAAAAGTATATAATTGCAAATATTTATTTCAGAATGTTCCATGATTATTGCTGCCATTCAATTATTGTGCTGTATAGTGATGCAATGTAAGTGTATCCTTCCATATGTATTTTAATGACATAGGTGCATGAACTGTGATGTTTGGGTTGGTGTATGGGAATATGAATGGCAGCCGCCAAATGACCTAGAGAGCCTGAAAGCAGTGTTGAATGTTGTATCTGATGTTATAACATCAGGCATGCCAATGGAGTTGGAGTTAGTCCACCACCACCTCCTCTTCTTTACTTCCTTTTTTCTCTCCTACTCCATCACAGCTGCCTGTTATTGCAAAAGGCTCTATTGCTGTGTTCACTGCTGCAACTGAGTTAATGTGTCCATCCATCCATCCATTCATCCATTTATACTGTAGTATCTGCTTGGAGCCTACTGGCAGGCAAATTTTCACTCATCCATGAAACTTGGTTGTTTCCACAATCCCTAGTTATATGGAACTTGAAGAACGCATTAGGATCCGATCATTGTACAAAATCAAAGACAATCCTGAAGACAATGAAAAAATTACTGAAATCCAACCAAGGTAAACTAATCAAACCTATCATAGATTGTATATATATATATGTATATGAGTTTTGGTAATACAATAAGCTGGTTGTTGAGGATGAGGTTTGATAATGGTGGTATGGGATTATGCTGTGAGGGAAGCCAGGTGGTGCAGCTTGGTGGAAACTGCCAAGAGTCTAAATGTCACCCTTCAAACAACCAAGAAAGAGTTTGTGGCCTTCACAGAGCAGCAAGCTAAGCAATTTGTAAGAGATTGCATTGATTTTCTGGAAAGGATGAATGCCAATGGCCCTGTGAAATGTAGCAACCTTGATGTGGGACTTACCCTCTTTATCCACTTCCAGGCATATTCCCCTACACAATATATTTTTTATTTTTTTATTTTTGTCATCATTGTGATTGCTAAATAAGTGTCAAAATTGTTGTTGAAGGTTATGAAATTACAGAATCAGGTTTGGGTTGGGTAGAGACTTATATGTAGCTCTAACAAAGCCATTGTTCATATCTGAACAGGAAGAATTAAGTAATATGTTGACAACAAAAGACAACATAGTGCTTGCACAGAAACTATTTGACATGCCCATCACTGCTTATCCTGCACTTTTTGAGGTTCACACCTTCTGAAAGCCTTCTTTCAAACTAGGAACATTTTGTATACGAGAGTTTGATGCAGTAAAGAGTTTGTCAAAATTTTGTTCCTAGGGTGGATGGATGCAGTGGATTATCAGAAAATGAAAGGAGGGATGGGGTGGAATGCATTGGGGGGCAGGTGGAAATACAATTGAAAGGAGTGGGTATGATATATGATGTGTATGCGGCTTTTTCAGCAGCTGTGACCACAGCAGCAGCCACTTTGTGGGCAGAGCTTGACATCAACAAGCTGGTGGCCCTTGTGGATGACTTTGCCCTGCACATGAAACGGATGAAACACCTCAAGGATCAGCCCACTTATGCAATCATGGAAGCCAAATTAAAGGATTTCCAAGAATCCCTTCCTTTGATTCAGGTTTCACTTTCCTTATCATTTATAAAAAAAAAAAAAAAAAAAAAAAAAAATAAGCTGTACTTCTGCTCTCGTATTGAGTTAGACACATGCACAATGATCCTTTGGTTTCCATTGACCCTTAGGATTTAAAAAGTGAAGCTATGAGGAGGCGGCATTGGGATAAATTAATGGAAGAGACTGGAAAGAACTTTGACATGGATCCTAAAACTTTCACTCTTGCAAACATATTTAGAATGGAGCTCCACAACTATGCTGCAACAATAGGGTTTGTAAATTGTTCGCATGAAGTGTTTGATTTGTAGACAGTATCAAGTTTGTACAACACCAAAGCCTTGTAGGATGTTGAAATGAGTTTAGAATAAAAAATGTATGTTCAACCATGACAATTGTTGCACATGTTTCTTGTCATGGTTAGTACTTTATTACATTTTTATAGTACCATGTGATTGTTTTAAGACCATGATTTGAATTGAAACTTGGACCTCATTTCAAAAATTGGACAATGAGAGAAACTGACATACAAATTAACATGGCAGAGAGATCACAAATGCAGCATCAAAGGAGCTTAACATAGAGCAGGAGCTGAGGAATGTGAATGAGGTGTGGAGGGTGCAGTCATTTGAGGTGGTCAGGTATGCAAAGGATGGGGTGGACAAAGGGTATGTGCTGCGCAGCACAGAGGCTGTCATGCTGATAGTGGAGGAGATGAGTCTCAACCTGCAAGGCATGACCAGCTCTCGCTTTGTCAGTGCCTTCCTTGATGAAGTCAACTCCTGGGCTAGGTGCCTAGGCAACATTGGATCTGTTGTGGAGGTCTGGATGCAGGTGAAGTTCAGATCTGAAATGATTCATCTAATTACTGATGAAATCATGTTATCACCCAGCCCTTTTCTCACCAATCATTTCCATAAACCATACTCAAATCATCCAAATTTTCAAAAATCATGCTATGTTCTCACATTTGAATTATTGTTTTTTCTCAAACATGCATAAGTTTTAAAAACACTGTAATTTGCATTACACACATACTCAAAAACATTTAACAGTACTCATTGCCATGCACTTTTCTATCTCTTATTTTTATGTACATGTGTGTGTGTGTATGAATGTATATATATATATATATATATTCTCACTTGAGCAAAACAAAAAAGTTTTATGGTTCTTAACATTGTGCTTCAACTGAGGTGTGTGTGTTGAACAGGTGCAACAGAAATGGATGTATCTTGAGAATATTTTTGGGGCTGAAGATATTAAACAACAACTTCCAGATGCAGCCAAACGATTTGACTATATAGATAAAAACTGGAAGAAAATAATGTCAGAAACATATAAAACACCCAACATTGTGAGTGCATGTGGTGTAGAAGGACGTCTGGACACTTTGTGGATGCTTTTCAAAGCACTTGAAAACTGCCAAAAAAGTTTGAGCAAGTGAGCAAAATCATTTCTATGATCATTTGTATCATTTGTTTGGAAGCACTGAAAGCATGATTATTAATGTGTGAATCAAAATATAAACTTTCAGTGAAGTGTTTGTTTGAAATGTGGCTTTTAATATATATATATATATATATATATATATATATTCCAGTTTTAAAATTGCCCCACACACATGTCATTTAAACATAGAATGACTAATTTTGTGTTAATTATCATTTTATGCTTTGTACTGTTTTATGACAGTTATTTGGACACACAGAGAAATGCCTTTCCACGATTTTATTTCATTTCAGATGATGAATTGCTTTCAGTATTGGGAAACTCAGATCCTACCTCTATACAAGAGCACATGCTAAAATTATTTGACAATTGTGCTTCTTTAACTTTTGGAGAAAAGAACAAGAAAATCCTGGGAATGACATCATCAGAGGGAGAGACTTACAATTTCAGAATGAAGATTTCTACAGATGGTGCAGTGGAATCATGGATGAAACGTACTGAAGCAGAGATGCGACATTCACTCTTTGAAATTATGAAAGAAGGGGTCTACCATTATGCAAAGTCTATCCGAAAGGATTGGATTTCTGTCAATTTGGGCATGGTTACTTTGGTATTTCCATGCACATAGTACAAATAGTTTTGTAGATCTTTTGAGCATATGACAAGGAAGCTTATGAATTGTCCTAATTTTATTCATAATAATTAATTGATAGTAGATTTATTTATTTGTTATCAGTCTATAATTTTTAGTAATGACCAGGAAAAATCCTAGTGTTTCAAAAGTTTGTGTGTGAAGTACTGTACAATGAAAATGAACATGTGATATCATGAAGGCTGGGAGCACAATTTGGTGGACATGGGAAGTTGAGGATGCATTTCAGAATGTGCAGCTGGGTGACAAGAATGCCATGAAAAAATTCAGTGTTAAGCTTTCCAACCAGCTCAATGACCTTGTGGCAATGGTGCGGTCTGATTTAACCAATTTGATTAGGAAAAAGGTGTCTGTCTTGACCTTCAAACTCCACCCATGCTTCACTTCATCTCAAAACTCATGTTCAGTTCTTCACATTCATCTTGTTCTTCTTTGTTATTGAGACAATAACAACAAAACTAAATGAAAATTGTAGGTGAATGCTCTTATTATCATTGAAGTTCATGCAAGGGATATCATAGATACATTTGTACGAGACAGTATTCTAGACCATCGTGAATTTGCTTGGGAGAGCCAGCTGCGGTTTTATTGGGACCGTGGTCCAGATGATTGTATTATAAGGTTTTGTACAACTGATTTAACATGGTCTTGTATACATGTATAGGAAGAAAAAAAAATAAAAACAAAGAAAATTAAATAATTAAAAAAATATATATTTTAATTTGCAACATCAGATTCCTTTACTTCATTTGTAAGTATAAATGTGATGAGCATTGCACTCACATCTTGAGAAATGGCACATTATGCAACCTCATTCATGGGAACATCAAGAAAGAAAAGAGGGGAAAAGTGTTGGGAATTTATGAGCAAAAGATTGAAATGGGTTGGGTGTGATGGGAAGGCAATGCACAGGAGAGTTCCAATATGGATATGAATATATGGGCTTGAATGGGCGCCTTGTCATCACTGCATTGACTGACCGGTGCTACATGACCATCACCACAGCTCTCACTTACGGCCTTGGAGGAGCTCCTGCTGGACCTGCAGGCACTGGCAAAACAGAAACCACTAAAGATCTTGCTAAATCCATGGCCTTGCTTTGCATGGTCTTCAACTGTGGAGATGGACTTGATTACAAGGTTCTCTTTTGTTCTTTATGCATTCTCTCATGCATCCACATACATCTGTGTGTCTGTCTCAATGTTGACACCATGGCTACATCTGTTTAGTCAAACAGACCTTGGACAACTCTACTAAAAACAAAAAATTGGGCAAAAAGTCAATACAGAAACTAATTGAAATATTATAAATATGTTGTTTGGTTTATTTGCCCATTCAAGAATTATTTGATCCAATTTCCTGGTAAGCAAACAACTCCTTGATGTCAAAACTGCCATAAAGTGTTGCTCTGTAGGCTTTTTTGATTAAAATGTCCATTTGCATTTTATTTCTAGTGAGAAGGACAAGTAATCATTTTTTTTCTTCTCAACCAACCATGTTGTTGATATCCTATGTCTGCTTGACAATTAACCATTGTGCAAAGTGGCCCTCAATGTATTGATAATGGTAAACTACTGTATTCAAGTCTTGTTACAATTTTAGATTGATTTGAATCCTCATGTTTTGACAAATTTTCTGCAGGCAATGGGCTCTATATTTTCAGGCCTTGTTCAATGTGGGGCCTGGGGGTGTTTTGATGAATTCAATAGAATTGATGCAGAGGTATTGTCTGTTGTGTCATCACAAATCAAACAAATCCAGGTATTCCTTATTCAATAGACTCCTATTTGAGCAGATATCCAAGCTTGCACAAACATTTTACACTCAATTTAATGTGGATGATACAGAACAGTAGAATCTAGAGCAACTGTTATTTTAAATATCAATGAATTAATTTTGGTCTTTCATTGATAATTTGTGATTTAAAGGTTTGGATCCTGTCTAATAATTGGAATTTGATTATTATCATCAATCTAAGATTACAGCATATCATTTTCAAGTTGTGAATTCTTGTGTTTGAAAGTTCAAAGTCAATAATGCAATCATACTAACACACATGATCAAGTTCATTTGTAACCATTTGATTCACTCACTTATCTGAACATTGTTTCTGAGGAAAAATAATGTCATGAAACACACTGTAGAACACCTCAATCCTCTTCAGCTGCTGGTTTTTTGAGTTGAAAATTTTAACAATCAGGGAACATCATGGTAGGGTGAGTGATGACAGTGGTAGACTCATTCTTTGATCCTATTTTAGGAAGCAATGAAGAATGGTTTGAGGAAATTCACATTTGAAGGGAAAGAAATAGCATTGGATGCAAGGACAGGAATCTTCATCACCATGAACCCAGGTTATGCAGGACGAACTGAGCTCCCTGACAATTTGAAGGCACTCTTCCGTCCTGTAACCATGATTGTGCCTGACTTGCAGCAGATCTGTGAAATCATGCTCTTCTCTGAAGGGTGCTCTCAATCTGCCCTTTCTGCTTCTTATTCAGTTTCACAGTAGTTGTTTGAGTATGTTTATGATACGCATACTTAAGTCTACAATTTGCATTTTCATTTTTAGATATGTTTCACATATACAATTTCATCTGCTGACATAGTTGTAATAGTGATGCTATTGTGTAGAATATCAAAGTTACTGAACCATGAATCTGAATTTCACACACATGGGCATAAAAAAATTAGACTCACAAATCAAATGTTACAAAAACATCTGTAACACAATTCTTCTGCTTGAACCAAATAAGTTGGTGGGTGTAATAACTGTGTGTGATAACATAACAAAGACTCATTGGCATGTGGCCAGATTTGAAACTGCCAAAATGTTGGCCAAGAAAATGACAGTGCTTTACAAGTTGTCAAGGGAGCAGCTGTCAAAACAATATCACTATGACTTTGGACTGCGGGCATTGAAATCAGTGTTAGTAATGGCAGGAGCCTTCAAGAGAGGAGATGCAGCCATGAGTGAACAGCTTGTGCTGATGAGAGCCCTCCGGGACATGAACCTTCCCAAATTCACTTTTGAAGATGTCCCACTGTTTCTGGGGCTCATCAATGATCTCTTCCCCGGCATGGATTGCCCTCGTGTGCGCTACCCTTCCTTCAATGATGTTGTGGAGGATGATCTTAAGGTGTGTATTCCTCCTTCCCTCCCTTCCCTGCAATTCTATGTTGTGCCCTAATAGAGTCACTGAGAACTAATGGAGGAGTCATCCATTGCTAACTTCAACAGAGACCTGCTTTTGATTTCTATGTTGCATTGAGTCTGAGCATGAATGCATTTTGCAGGTACATGGCTACCTTGTCATGACAAATCCAACAGACCAAGTGGATAAAGTCATTCAATTGTATGAAACAATGCTTACCCGCCACACCACAATGGTTGTTGGTCCAACTGGAGGGGGCAAGACGGTGATCATTGAAACGCTTGCAAGGGCCCAAACTAACCTTGGTTATCCAACCTCCCTCCTTATTATCAATTCAAAAGCCCAACCCACACATGAACTCTATGGGCTGATGGGTACAGATTCTTGTCTTTTCATTTTACTACATTGTAGAGCACAATTTATACATGACTTTATTACATCTGCCTATTCCATCAGCAGATAATACTTCTGTTAGTATAATACAATAATATACTTTTACTTTTCTATTGGCTTCACTTGCATCAATCATCATCATATATCAACTTGAAATTCTTTTTATTATTATTAATAGATGCTGAGACACGTGATTGGACGGATGGCTTATTATCTAGTTTATTCAGAGAAATAAACAAGCCTCTCCAACCTGGACATGCCAATGACAGGTTTCAAATCTTGAGCTGAATTCTAATGTACTGTTTGTTTCACTTACTCGTGTGCTCTTATGAACATACATACTGACTATTGACAAGGTTCCACATGTTTGCACACACTTAATTATTGTGGGATGTAGGTGTTATTTGGTTTTTGATGGTGATGTTGATGCTCTATGGGTAGAAGACATGAACAGTGTGATGGATGATAATAAACTACTGACACTCCCAAATGGAGAACGAATACGAGTTCAGAATCATTGCAAGTTATTGTTTGAGGTGTTTACAAATTTCAGAACATTATTGAATTTTTTGCTTCAGATTATGCTCAATTTGATCACCTTGTAAAAACATACTCTACAACCAAGAAAAGTGAAAAATAAAAATGCATTTTGTTCTCAAATGTAGGTGTCTGATCTTCAATATGCATCACCTGCTACTGTAAGTCGATGTGGTATGGTGTTTGTTGACTCAAAGAACTTGGGATATCAACCTTATATTTGGAGGTGGTGCAATTCTCGAGAGAAAGAGTAAATAGCACATTGAAACTTGTATCACATAATTAAGTGATTTACAAAATATTGCAGAAGTTAATTGATACTTACACTGCATGCAACTTTTGTAGCCTTATTCTTGTTTAAAAAAGCTGTGATGAACTTTTAATTCCTTCCAGTTAGTAATTCATTGTTTTAAAATACTGTTGCTCATGCATACAGAAGACCAGTGGAAACTGAACAAATCAGGGAACTCTTTCAAAAGTATGTACCTGCATGTATAGATTTTGTTTTGGAAGGGCTTGTGATGGGTGAGCTTACAAAGCCATTGATGCAAACTATTCCACTGACAAATCTCAATATGGTGCGACAATTATGCAATATGCTAGAAGCCATTTTGTGTGACAAGTTTCAAGTTCATCGACCTGTAGTAAACACTCTTCAAAGTTGTTTGGAATCAATTTTACATATTAAAAAATATTCATGTTATTTGATCAAATATAATGGTGTGTTGAGTTTCTTTTAGTTTAGCAAGGATAAGCCTAAAATATATTTACATGAAAAAATAATATTAGCACATGGTGGTATTGAGAATCAGTAATAATAATCTTGACATAACAAGATATCCTACAAATGGTTTTTGTTTTCAAAATTGTGATCAATGATGTATACATACATAGGCACTTGAGGCATTGTTTATATATCTTTGTGTGTGGTCAATTGGTGGAAGCATTGTGCAAACAATTGTTTCACAAGATCGGAGTCGGTTTGACTCTTTCATAAAAAGCATTGCCACCCTGGGGTTGAGTTCCAACCACCCCATCCCTCCCAATCAACTCCCTGCTGACCTCATCTATGAGTACCATTTTGATGTGGATTCATTAATGTGGCAATCCTGGAAAGCTCTTGTTCCAGTTTACGAGGTTCTTAATCTAAATCCCACTTGTGAGAGTTCAAAGACATATTATTTTTAAAAAAATATCAAATGGAACCATTTTATTTTGATGGCATCAGTATTCTTTCAACTTTAAAAAAGTGTGAAAAGTGGAACACAATATTCACATGTGGATTGGATTGATTTAGTGGCTGATATGCTCAAAATTGAAAAATGAGTTTTAAAATGTTGTAGTGCAATTTTGTTTCATGATATGGATTTTGATTCATATTGAATTTTAAGTACAATGAAATTTTAGTTACAAGCACACATTTTTATAAGTACTTTGAAGTTTGTCACCTTTCAGCCTCCACCAGATGCAGCTTTCAGCAAAATACTAGTCCCCACTCTTGACACATGTCGATCAACTTGGATCCTAAATCTCCTTGCTCAAGTACGTGAAAGTACCAACCCAGTTTAATGTTCTAAAGTCACTTACTGATGATTGGCTTTCTGACTCCCCACTAGAAATGTGTAATGAATCACAGTACACTGTGTTTTTGAATTGTAGCATGGCAAGTCAATACTATTTGTCGGTGAAAGTGGAACATCAAAAACAGTCATCATTCAAAAATACTTCACAACCTTGGAAACATCAAAGATACTCATCCTCAACATGAATTTCAGTAGCAGGACAAACTCCATGGATGTCCAAACATCAATTGAAGACTCTATAGAAAAGCGAACAAAGGCAAGGTTTTCTTCCACGTGCAAAAAGAGTTGGTTTGTTGCCTTTCATGTCTAATCTAATACTTTTTTCAGGGATGGGGGAGTACAACTTAAAAATGTGGGGAGGAAGTGGGGGTAAACAATGCTTTCCACGTGCTAGAAGCATGAAGTGGCAACTGTGCAGGTTGATTACGGACCCTCACTGAATAGGAAGATGGTGGTGTTCATGGATGACATGAATATGCCTAAGGTGGATACCTATGGAACCCAGCAACCCATTGCCTTCCTGAAGCTTTTGGTGGACAAAGGTGGAATGTATGGCAGAGGGTGTGTTCCTCTTCCCCTCCCTAGTCCACTGCTGGTGCCTTTGCCACAACCTCTTCAAATACTTCCACTTCTTCCCCATGTCATATATGAATCTGAACTGGATAATGGTGGTTGCATAATGCATGGTTCAGGAAAGACTTGAATTGGAAAAATATTCTAGATGTTCAGTTCATTGGAGCTATGGGCAGACCAGGTGGAGCTCGTAATCCTGTTGATCCACGGTTCATTTCTCTCTTCAACATTTTTGAAATTCAATTTCCAGCCAGCACCACTCTCTCTCACATCTACAGTGCCATCCTTGATGCTCATCTTCATAAATTTGGAACAGATTTGAAAGTAATGCTCTCCACATCTCCACATAAACATGTGTTGTGTTTGTGCTAATGAACAAACATAATGGAATAATATTTTATTCAATTTCTTCATCACATACTTATCTTATACTAATGGAAATATATACAATTGTATAACCAAATGTTTTGAAAATTTAGAAAAGTTGTTGAATCACGAATTAAATTTATATACCAGGAGTTGACACCTTCAATCACATATATGACCTTAAAGTTGTACACATACATTGTTGAGAAACTACCACCAACACCTTCAAGATTCCATTATATTTTCAATTTGCGTGACTTAAGTCGTGTCTATGAAGGGATGACTTTATCAACTATTGACAAAATAAAAACAATTGGTCAAATGATACGGTTGTGGCGCAATGAGTGCCTGCGCATATTCTATGACCGTCTTATCAATGAGAATGATAGACATGTTGTTGAAGTAATTATTTTAATTCATGTTCCTTAAAAGATGAAAAATTATTATGTTTTATTGACTCAGAATCATAACAGGAATGGTCCAAGTCCTACTATGATTGAAATCCAAATAAAACATTATGTTATTAAAAGAAGTAAAAAAACTTCATAGTTGTTCAACACATGAATTTTGTTAAGAATATTTTAATATCACTGTTTACAGATGCAGATTGAGGCCATAATACGTGAAAAATTTGATTCAGTTGCTGATGAGGTTTTAGCAAATCCAATAGTCTATGGAGATTATAGAAATGTGTTAAAACCCACAGAGCCAAGGCTTTATGAAGACCTGAGTAGTTATGATTTGATCAGGCCGTGGATGGAAGAAGCAATAGAAGAGTACAACCTTGTGAATAAACCCATGAATCTTGTCATGTTTCAAGATGCTTTGGAACACCTCACACGAATTCATCGCATAATGCGAATTCCTCAAGTAAACAAACAAATAAAATTTACTCATGGTTTAGAAAAAAGTCCTTTATGTTCTATTTAAATGCCACGTTTTACCTCCAATATATTCAGCATGTAATAATCAATTACTTTAGTATTGAATAATTGATGTTTGCAATATAAATGAAAATTGGCAAAGCCAGTTAATTTTTAAAAACTTATGCAAGTGAGTTTAATATAACCTGTTTAGTTGTAATTATAGTTTCAAAATTTGTTAAGATGTATGATTTGAAAGTCTGCAAAAAGAAACCTTCAAGCCTATTCTTTCTTACAAAGTAGGAGGTTCACCTGCAAATGATCAGATTAAATAAAAGTATTTCTATTGATAATTTGGGCATGTTTTTCCAGGGTAATGCATTACTTGTGGGGGTTGGAGGAAGTGGAAAGAAGAGTTTGTCCATTCTTGGAGCTTTTGTTGCTGGATGCAAGGTGTTTCAAATCACATTAGCACGAGGCTACAATGAAGATACATTTCGGGAGGACCTGAAAGCATTGTACAACATGCTGGGATTGGAGAACAAGGCTGTTGTGTTCTTATTCACAGATGCCCATGTTGCTAGTGAAGGCTTTTTGGAACTCATCAACAACATGCTCACATCTGGCATGGTGCCTGCTCTCTTCAAAGAAGAAGAAAAAGATGGCATAATTAACCAAGTACCCTTTGCCTCCCTCCATCCCTACCAATAACCAAGCCTCCACTCACTTTGGATGCCATCTATTCAATTCCAATTGTTGTCATTCACTGGGATTCAATTTAGTAGAAAATTTATGGTATGATACAAATGAATAGCACCACATCAGCTGTATGATTGCAATCAAACATTCCAAATATTTTATCAGTGACAAGAAGTATCTTCATGAAATGGATAAGAATTTGAAATGGAAGATGGATTAAACATGTCCTGAGACTAGGAATTGGATTAAAAAGAGTGATGTGCATTTATGAAGGTTCGGGAGGCAGCTGCAGCATCAGGAATGGTGGACACAAAGGAGAATGTATGGAGCTATTTCATCAGCCGGTGTCGCAGCAATCTGCACATCACACTCGCAATGTCACCAGTTGGGGACACACTCCGTACACGGTGTTGCAACTTCCCTGGCTTGGTGAACAACTGTGTAATAGATTGGCTCACCCCCTGGCCAGAGGATGCACTGCTGTCTGTGTGCACAGTGTTCCTGGCTGGAGTGGACATTCCTGCAGAGTTCAGGGAGTCCATTCTGGGCCACATTGTGATGGTGCACTCCTCTGTGTGCACCCTCAGCCCCCAGTTCACTTCAGAGACAAGGCGCACCAATTTTGTGACCCCCAAAAATTTCCTTGACTTCATCATGACCTACTGCTCCAAACTGAAGCAAAAACGGCAATACAACACAAACCAAGTGAACCGGCTCCAAGGGGGATTGCAAAAGCTCATTCAAGCTGCCAAAGAGGTGACAGCCATGCAGGTACTCTTAATTTCATCCCAAAGAGCCCTTGACAACCCTGACAGTTTTTAGGGCTTGGAGAGTGCAGTGACCTCCCTTTCCACTAGCAGCATGAGTGCAAGTGTATGGGTATATATGCACAACAAACATGATGGTTGAGAGTATTCCAAGTGGTATCTCCAGTGTGGTTTGTGGCCATCTTCCCACTTGAACAGATGAACAGTTTAAAATGAAATACAAATTATGATGATCATATAAGAAGCTTAAAATTTTCAACTAGTTGGTATAGGATTCTAAAGGATTTAGATTGTGTATTCACACAAAGAGTATGTTGAATGTTTATTGACCATTTTATTCATCCATCCCAGAGAAGGATTGTTCTACCAAAACTAATTGAGTCAGCACAATTAAAAATAAACATGAAAATAAACAGAAGAATAGGAAATTAAATTTTGAGACCTGCAATAATTATTTCAAGTCTTCCATTTTTTTTAAATGAAATAATGTGTTCACTATTTTAAGTGGACATATAAATACATAATTATGTTTCTACAGGAAACCTTAGCAAAGGCAAAGATTGTTGTAGATTCAAAGACTAAAGAAGTTAATGCACTCATAGAAGTAATTAGGTACTTTTCCAAACTTTTGTTATGCCTGGATTACATGTTTACTTGATTGATGATTTTACACAACATTATGAGCTTTTGTAGGTAAGGAGATAGAAAAGTGTGTGTAACTTCTGAAATATTTAAGTAACTGAAAAATTGTTGAAATTAAACAAACTGGATTTCATTCTTGATTACAATGACACAGAGGTATGCAAATATAATGAAGAGACTTCTCATGTAATTTTTCAAAATGAAGATCTTTAACTCAAACTTCTGTGTTGTGGCAGCAAGAATACAGAGATAGTTGTGGCAAAGCAAACCACAGCAGAGGAGAAGGCTAAAGAATTAGCCACACAAAAAGCTCAGATAGCAATAGAAAAGGGTGAGGCAGAAGTGGCTCTAGCTGATGCCCTCCCTGCCTTGGAGGCTGCAGCTGAAGCTCTGAACAGCTTGAAGAAAGATGAAATCACAGAAATTCGATCATTTGCCAAGCCCAACATTTATGTTCAAAAGGTTGTCATGGTGCATGGACGTAGTAAACCAAAATTCATTCTTACTAATCAAGACATATTTAACTTTTTGAATATTTGTAAAGTAAGTGCATAGAGGTAAATAATTCAACAGACACAGCTCAACAGTTGACTCCGCAAACTTCTATGATGTGTGGAGGTGCTAATACCTAAATTCTATTCCAAACCAGGTGTGTGAATGTGTGTGCATCCTCAAGCACATTCCTGATGTTTCTTGGAAAGGTGCCAAGGGGATGATGGCAGATAGTAGTTTCCTGAAAAGTTTGATAGAATTTGAAAAAGACACTATCTCTGAGAGACAAGTATGCCTACACTCCATCCTTCTTTACTCAGAGTCTGTCCTCAGGGTCTCAGTACATTCCCACATGCATACAGTATTGATTCTTGCCACAATACTGTATAAAAAGGGATAATTATTGGACAGAAGCATCCAATTTTTTGATTTTTGGTTTTCTTTTCTTTCCACATCTCTTACATGTGAAAAAAACAACTGCATCAGGGGGCAAGTGGTAAGGGTGGAATTGGGTTGGTGGAGGGCAGATGAAAGGTTTAAGGGAGTACTTCAAAGATCCCAACATGAGTTTGGAGAATGTGCAAACCATATCACAAGCAGCAGCAGGGCTCCTGAGGTGGGTGGTGGCCATGATGAACTACTATGGCATTCTCAAAGTTGTTGCTCCACAGCGCAATGCTGTTGCTGCTGCTGAAAAAATGCTTACCAGTGCCCAATCAGAACTGGACAAAATCCAAGAGGAGGTCCCTTCAGCACCACCTCTGCTCCTTCCCACCCTTCTCCTCTATTCCATTCTCTTCAATAATTTTCTCTTTTCAAATTCTCTATCAATAGGCATGTATAAAAGAGTCCACTCTCACATGAAAAAACTATATACATACTTTTACATATAAATATAAATAAGTCTTATATGCATCAAACTTAATTTGTAATGTATATTGGTTTCTGAAAGTTATTAAGTAGTCTTTATTTAACATGCATGTTGGCTCAAGTTTGTAACAATGAATAATTGGAGGAATAAAATTTCTTCATAATTTTATTCTTAAATATTTTATTCCATTTAACCACAACCCTATACTTAATTAATATTTCAATTAGCTATCTGTTTTCTGTGCATTACTTTGTCCAGTTTAGTTTTGGTGTTTTTTATGTTCATAGATTCTTAAAGAATGTTTTATTTGAACTTTTTTTTGAGAGTACCCTTAGGTTTTTTTTTTCAAAAAAATAAATAAATAAACTATTTATTCATCTTTGATCATAGCAGGTTGGGAATTTGAGTGTACAATTAGCAGAGTTAAATAAACAATATGAAGTTGCCTATGGAGAACAAATGGCATTGAAAACAAATGCAGATTTGATGAAAAAAAGGCTTGATGCAGCATCTCAACTCATATCTGGACTTGGAAGTGAACATGCTCGATGGTCAAAGGAATTAGAAGAATTGGCATTTGATCGTGTCAAGTTATTAGGAGATTGTTTATTGGCTTCAAGCTTCTTAAGGTCTGTTACTATTTGCTTAAGTTCCTACAATCACTTGTTCCTATGTCATTCTCTCTCCCTCTCTCTCTCACACACACACATACATGCATGTTCAATAATCTGATCCAATGGACACAAATTTTAAAGATGTGTGGATTGCATTGCAGTTACTGTGGAGGCTTTACAATAGATTACAGAACCATGTTGATCAAGACTACTTGGCATTCAGACCTTCTGAAAAGAAAGGTTCCAGTGAGTGATCCTTTAAATCTTGAGAACCTTTTAACAACTGAAGTTGAGATCAGCACTTGGAACAGTCAAGGGCTTCCATCCAATGATCTTTCCATTCAGAATGGAATTCTTACTACCAAGGGCTCACGTTTCCCTCTTTGCATTGATCCACAGCTTCAGGTAAGAGACACATCCATTAAAATACTTATTTTTATATTCACTAAAACAATGTAGAAAGAAAATTTGAATAGCTATTAGAACATGTTGAATCAGAGGTCATTATTCACAAAGCCAACAAAGTTAGAAGCTCATCCATGTAAGTGGCATGAAATGACTAGGCCATCAATTGGATAAAGAAAAAAGAAGGAAAAATGCTGGAAGGTCAAATAAGAACATTTAATGACACAGATTTTCTGAAGCAGTTGGAATTGGCAATTCAATATGGATTCCCATTCATGTTTGAAAATGTGGATGAATACATAGATCCAATCATTGATCCCATACTAGAAAAAATTACAACTTCTGGACCAGGAGGAAGAAAGACTGTGAAACTTGGTGATAAAGAAATTGATTGGGTAGGATTTTCTGCTCTGTTGTTCTAACATTGTTTTCATACAATTTTGCTTAGCATTAAAAAGGATATTAGTTAAATTTTTAAAAATTATTCATTTTTTACATTATTAATAATAAATTAATTTTCAAAGAATGCTTATCTAGAAGCTAAGAAAATAGATAAGTTATTTTTTATGCATTCTCATTTCTTTATTTCTTATATTTTACAAATTGTATCATTGTCCCATTGCACAGCAGGTTTTCATTTGTTCAAAACAATCATTACAGATACTTGTTTTGTTTTGTTTTGTTTTTTTGTTTTTCAATATATCCATCACATGAAAATTTGCAATGTCACTGCTTTTCTTAGTAATGTATCTATTTTTAAAAAATATCAGTTATCACAATCATCAATACAGTTAATGTTAATAACATACACTGTCTAATTTCCCTGTTCAGGATGAAAATTTCAGACTTTATCTTGTGAGTAAGCTGCCCAATCCAGAATATGGGCCAGAAATTTCTGGAAAGACACTGATTATTAACTATTGTGTAACAGAACAAGGTCTCCAAGCACAGCTTCTGAATGCAACTGTAAGTTTAAGAAAGATTTCTTTGAAATCATGCCATGGGAACACTAAATCTGTGATGTGTGGTTTGAAACTGAAATCAAACATTGCAAGGGAGTCTGTGCTTGGTTTGGGGGCAATGCTGTAGCAACATGGTGTAGGATAGCAATGCTGCAAATCACCTGTGTATCCTCCTCCTCCTCTTAGCACCCAGGACATGAATGTCACCTCATCTGGGCACCAATGAGCTGAGCATACTTTAGAATGTATCTACCAGTAATCTTAAGGGTATTTGTTCCTTACTTTAAAATGAACACACACACACACACACACACACTTTTTTTTTGTCACAGCCAAGCTCACGATCAACAATTGAACGAGAGTGGAAGGCATTTAAAATATTCTTTGGTTGTTTTGAAATTCATTAGGTGGGACATGAAAGGCCAGACTTGGAGCAACTAAGAGAGAAACTGGTTATTGAAACTGGTGAAAACAAGGCATTATTAAAGCAACTTGAGGACACACTGTTACAAGTAATTTTGTGATTTTGTCCACTTGAGTTTTCAGTGATAAGAAGATATCTTCTGTTGTTTGAGATTTGCTTACAATTTTATTACCATAATACAGATTTGTTTTTTACCATGTTCCAAATTAATGGAGATGGAGGTGTTTATGGGTGTCATGTGTTAAGGAACTGAGTGCTGCCACAGGAAATATCCTAGATAACCATGAATTAATTGCAACACTAGAGATCACTAAATCAAAGGCAAGTGAAATCGCAGTGAAGCTAGCCATGGCTCAAGAAACATCTGTTGAAATAAACATGGTATGCTCTTCACCCATTATCACACAATACGATGGCTTAGCAGCCATTTCCAATTGCAAACTAGTTCTATTCAATGATCAATTTACTGTTTGTCTTTCAAGATTTAAGGCACAGTGGAGGTCATATTTATTAGATGTAACTTGAAGTGATCTGTATAAAAGTATTAAACGAGGCTTGGATTTTTGGGATACAATTAATAATGACATTATTTTTTTAATGTTGAGGCCTTAAAGCACCAATTCAAGACATGATTTTAGACCCTTAGCCACTTATTTTTTAAAATTTTACAATTTCAATTTTAACATCAAATCATACTACCAACAGTCCTTCAACTTTCATTTAGGATTTTGTAGTAGTGCTGTAATTAGTAGTCATCAATTATAATTATATCAAGGCCTTGAGATTGCATAATCTGTTAAGATATGTGCCTTGAGGAATAAAAGGTATTATTGATGATTCAACTACTCATGATTTTGCAAGCAAAATGTTCAGTCTTGTCGTGAACATACACAAGTTTTTTTCTGATTCCTTGAGAGAACACAAGATAGGGAGATTGAGGCAAAGGTTATGGTGTATTGATGATGAGGATATGGATTTTGTTGCAGCTTCGGGAAAGGTATTTTCCTGCAGCCAAGCGAGGTGCCATCTTATTTTTTGTGCTGAGCAACCTCTCTGCCATCAACAACATGTATGAGTACTCTTTGAATTCATTTCTGGAGGTTTTTGGCATCTCTCTTGCTACTAGCCAGAAGCATAAGACACTGGAGGGGCGGCTGAGTAATATCATGGATGCTTTGACAAGTGACCTCTACAATCATGCATGCATGGGCCTATTTGAGAAGCACAAGCTAATGCTGTCTTTCCAGTTCACCTTGGGTATTCTCAAGGGGGACAACCTTCTCAACCAGCAGCATCTGGACTTCTTCCTTAAGGGCAACTTGTCCCTTGAGAAGGCCCTCAAGCCCAACCCCTTCCCTGCCTGGTTCTCTGAGCAGGGATGGCAGGACATGACTGCCCTCTTTGCCTTGGCTCCAACTTTCCATGAATTGGGCCTGCACTTTGAAGATCATGAGGAGGAATGGCAAGCTTGGTAATTCACCCCTGACTCCATCATTCTTGCTTTGCTCACCATTTTTACTCCTTATATCCATCCATCCATCCATCCATCCATCCATCCATCCATCCATCTGCCAAAACACTTTTCAAATCACTACAATGAGCATGTTAAGCAAATAGGATTTTATTTTATTTTATTTTAACAGTAGCACAATTGTTTGCTCCCTAGTGCACACATCTTGTCATCATGTTACACATGTAGATATCATCAAGTCTTGTATTCTCCAAGGCATTTAATTGTGTAATAAACCAGTGCTGGTTTTCCTCCACCCATTCTTTTTGGCTCTTTAGAATGACTCACTAGCATTTAAACTTCCCAACACCACAAGCATACATCTAAGGGTTCATTTTTTAAATCATTCATATTTATACTATGACCCATGAACATGATCTTGCTGCATGACTATCATCTTCCACAACTCATTCATTACTGAAGTTGGATGTTGTCATGTACACACTTATGAAAACATTAATATGAAACTGGAAGATTTCAGCATGGTCACAATTGAGCTGTGATGAGAGCATAAATGTTATTATATTTTCAAAAACCATGTGCAGGTATAATGAAGCCCGTCCAGAAGCAATGCCCATGCCTGGAGGATTTTCAGAGAAACTTGAAACTTTTGAGCAACTCATGGTCCTGCGTTGCTTCCGCATAGACAGAATCACAGTTTCTTTGACTGTACGTACTTGTTGAAACCATATATATATGTATATATATACATATATATTTAACTACAATGTGATGGTTATATGGTGATTGAATAACATTTGTATGCAAAAATTGATCATGACTTAGTACCAAATTGTTCACCACAATGCAATATATCTTGTGACAGCAATATGTGATGAAGGTCATGGGAGAGAAGTACATAATGCCTCCTGTACTAGATTACAAAGCCATCCACACTCAAAGTTCATCCATGATGCCCATAGTTTTCATCCTAAGTCCAGGTGCAGACCCTGCTTTTGACATATTCAACCTTGGTGAAGAAATGGGGTTCAAACCAGGGCAAAAGCTGAAATACATGGCTCTTGGGCAAGGTGACAACATCATGATTAAAATGCTTCTTCACACCTTATCACTCTAAAAACTGCCATGCCAAATGAATGTCCCTGCACCATTTGGTATTTTGAGCACCAACATGAATGACATCTCCATCCCTCTTCCTTTCATGAGAATGCAAATACCAACTAACAAGGAAGGTGGGGATGGCACTGGGGGGCACCAGGGATGGGTCCAAAGGCAGCAGAGCAGATAGAGCAGGGTTCCATGCGGGGTTTGTGGGTGATGCTTCAAAACTGCCATTTGCTCCCATCCTGGCTGAAGACCCTGGAAAAAATCTTGGAGAAACTAGTGAAGCCCCACAATGACTTCCGGCTGTGGCTGACAACAGAGCCCACATCCACATTCCCCCTGGGCATCCTGCAGCGGAGCCTGAAGGTGGTGGCAGAGCCCCCCAATGGACTGAAGCTCAATTTGCGCTCCTCATATGCCAAGATCAGTGAAGAGAACCTTGCTGAATGCCCTCACTTTGCTTATCGACCTCAGGTGGTTCCCAAACTTCATCCTCCTCTGTCTGCCATCATGCTTCTCTTGGTCCTCCTCCCAATGCTAAGTGAAGATTGTGGTAAAGTGCACACTGAAACGAAACCTCACTTCTCCTACACATTACCCTTATTGGAGGTTGTTAGAGGAGAATTGACCAAAAAATCAAATCAAAGAATGTTATGAACAAGATAAGCACAATATGTGTGAAACAATCAAAATATCAACTTCCTCCCAGAAAATGTAGATATTATATTTTCTAACAATTTTCAAATTATTTTTACAATTGCTTATTGATACAATTTTCTCTGAAAATTTCAGAACCCTTTTTCATGCAATTCATCATTTTAAATGGGGTTATCATTACTATTATTATTACTATTTGAATAATATACAATGGTCAACTTACTGGATAAAACAATATTTCATACTTAGGATATTTTAATTTTCTATTAAAATATCAGATGCAGATTAAAATTCTCATTAACAGAATCAATGACAATATTTTGTAGGTCTTTGTGGTAGCATTTTTTCATGCAGTGGTACAAGAGCGGCGGAAATATGGAAGACTTGGATGGAATGTTCCTTATGATTTTAATGAAACAGACTTGCGTATTAGGTACAAGTTTATAGGGGAAAAAAAAAATAAAAAAAAATAAAAAAAAAAAATCTTAGTTTCACATCATCATATACATGCTATTATCAATAACTACTTTATTTAGAATTTAAAACATGTGCATCAGAAACATATGAATTTAGACAGAATAAATTATTTTCATATCAAGTTTATGGTTAGAATGTAAAACATACTAATTTTATAAGTTTTTTAAAAAATACATGCTTTGGTACAAGAGAATGAGTATGTTTTATATCAATGCAAAGAGAAAATAAGGGGGAATGGTGGTGTTTTGGTTGTAGCTTGGCATTGATATCAACATATCTGAAAAAAGCATTTGACAACAAGGATGACCAAATTCCATGGGGCACATTGAGGTATTTGATAGGGGAGGCCATGTATGGAGGTAGGGTATCAGATTCCTTTGATAGAAGAATCCTCACAACATATCTGGAGGAGTACCTGGGGGACTTCCTGTTTGATAAGGTGCATCCCTTCATGTTCTTTGCCTCCACGGGTGAGTCCATTGTGTACAGGCTGCCAGAGACTGGGCACAGAGACCACTACATACACTACATTGGGGAGTTGCCTATTGTGCAATCTCCACAAGTGTTTGGTCTGCACCCCAATGCAGACATCAGCTACTACTCCAGCAGCACCAAAACCTTGTGGAAGGACTTGGTGAGCATGCAGCCTAGTGCAGCAGGTGGTAGTGATGGCACCCGCCAGGAAGACATTGTTGACAGGATTGCGGCTGACCTGCTTACCAAAATACCACTACCATTTGACCTCCCAGCCTTGAGGAAACAGATAGGAATCCCATCCCCTGTGCAGGTCAGGATCATCATCCACAGCTCCTCTCTCCAGGATTTGTTCCCAATTCAGCCACTGCACAGCATTGCAATCTCTCTTGATTAAAACCAAGTGTTCCTATTTTTCTTTCCTAATAAATCATTGTTTAAATAATTGAAAGGTGTTATTTGAATTCTGAATTTATTTTTTGAGTTTTGTCCTCAAACAACAGGTGGTGTTGCTGCAAGAAGTGGAGAGGTGGAACAGACTAGTAGATACCATGGGGAACAGCTTATTTCATTTACAAAGAGCTTTAGGAGGTAAGTCCAATGTGTGCCCTAGACCAATGCATGATCATCTGAGATTGAGGGTTAATGATAGAAAGGGAAGAGAAAGAGTAGGTTTCCAGGTCCCTTGCATCATGTCAGCCAATGCAGCAACAGACCCACTTTGACATGAGACTACATGGAACAGGTGAAATTGGCATGAGCACAGACCTTGATGACTTGTCAACTGCTCTCTTCAATGGAGAATTACCTTCCATGTGGCGCAAGATGACTGCACAAGTAACACATGCTTTGAACTGACATATCTCCCTGGTTTACACCTTCAGGGTTTGCTTTGTGGATTTCTCAAGCTTTTATTATTTTCTTTTTCTTCTTTTTAATAATTGTAATTTTTTATTTTTAAAAATACAACAAATAAAAAAATGATAACACTGAAGAGCTATGACAAAACATCCTCCCATGCAAGTACTATTTTATGTATTTGTGCATTAGCAAACAACAGATGATTTTTGTACATACTTTTCCTCTAAAGAAAAAAAAGGCATAGCATTGTTAAAACCATGGCATGGTGATGCTAACTGTGACCTGGATGCATCAATACAGATAGAAGTGTGAGAGTGAAGTGATGTGGTGTGGTGGATTGTGGGTGTTGTAGACTCAGAAGATGCTGCCAGCATGGATGGCATGGTTCCAAAGGCGCTATCAGCAATATAAGAAATGGATTGAGGTCGGAGAGCCAGTGGTGATGTGGATGTCCGGCCTCCACATTCCAGAGACCTTCATAGCAGCACTTGTGCAGAGCACATGCCGTGCCAAAGGATGGCCCCTTGACCAATCCAGCATCTACACACAAGTCACACCCTACATGCACCCAGATGAGATTAAGGACAAGCCCCAGGATGGATGCTATGTAACAGGGCTCTACCTGGAGGGTGCCTCTTGGAACCCAGACACCCTCATGCTCAGGACTCAGGTGCATCTCTCTCTCTCTCTCTCTCTCTCTCACACACACTCTCTCTCTTCTTTTCATACCCCCTAACACATTCTCTCACACCTTGTCTCCACCCTCTCTTCTCACACCCACAGTATTGTTCCACCTACATTCCCAGTAATTTGTTGGGTCCTCCTTTAACCCCAACATATTAATGCCAGTTAACTATTGGAATTGTTTTTATGCCCATGTTTTTATTGGGACTGTGCAATGTATTCATGTACTCTGAGTGAGGATGGGGTGAGTTTGGGAATTGTATTAGAAAGGAAAAGATTTTGTAGGATGTGTGGTTTTGATACAAGTGGAGGTCGTCTGTATGCCATATCCCAGGACCCCAAAATCTTAGTTGTGGAGCTCCCGATACTGCACATCATTCCCATAGAAGGAAACAAGCTGAAACTCACCAACACATTTCGAACACCTGTGTATGTGACACAAGCACGGCGGAATGCCATGGGAGTTGGTCTCATCTTCGAAGCTGACCTCTCCACCACCATCCACCCTTCCCATTGGGTGCTTCAAGGTGTTGCTTTGTGCCTCAATATTGATCATTGACTTGCATTGTATGTATCCATTGGGGCTGGATGAGTGGAGGTTAAAACTTTAAAATCATGTTTAACAGATGATGTAGTTACTTGCATTGTATGATTGAATTGGATTTAATGATATCAATTGTGTGTAACTGCACACATTTGTCTTTAATATATTTTTTTAATCTTTTTTTCTATTAAAATTTCAACAATTATTCAATTATTTAAAATTTTAAGAGAAGGGTTCTAATTAAGATTTTTTCAAATAAAAATAAAATTGCAGAAGGTTTTGAGATAGAAGCACGATGGTTTTTTTTTTAAAGTTTCATAAATTCATCCAACCAAAACTCATCCTAATCTATACCAAAGATCTAATCTCAATTTTTCATCAACAAAGCACACCACATCCAAATTCACAACTTCATCAAATTATTACATTTATCCAAAATTTTAATCTATTGATATAATTATTTATCCAAATTAAATTTCTACATTTTTTATAATCTTTCTTCTAAAGTTCATCTGTTCAAACTAACTAATAGACTTAGAAATCATCCCAATAAAGAACCCAAGGAGTTTAGTAATTCCAAGCCTATTATTGCATCCTTCAACATAAAATAACATACCACATATGCTACCAAGCTCCAAATTGTCATTAACTAGTCTTTTTAGAAAGCAAGACTGAAGGCGCATCCACTCTCCAATATTCATGGTCAAAGTTTTTTTAGATGCCTTTAATACCACCCCTCAGAGTTGATGATCTAATTTGGCAAGGTAACAAATCTTCTTCTACAAAATTAAACTCTACAACCTTATCCTTGATTTTTTTCCTAGTGAATCTAAGATTATTAGAATTATAACTTAACATAAAAAAATACCTTAAAATAATGAGCCCTTGGATTTCCTTGATCTTCTTCATCTTGCCTTCCAAAGTTTTATCTTTAATTGATTGCTTGAATTTAAAGACAGCACACTCTTTGCCAAAAACCAACATTCTTAGCACTCTTGGCTCTACTATTATTAATTTTTAGCTCTTTAAAAATAATACTTTATTAGCTCTTCAGTGAAACAAAGCTTGTTGATTTTCAACTTGTGAGAAATGAAAGTCATGCTTCTAAAATAGAACTACCAAATTACAAAGACAATATACTATCCTTTACTAAATGAGATATTGCTTTCTTATCCAAAATTCAAATCCATATAATTTAATGTTTAAAAAATTAAATTTATTTTACAATATTTATCTAAATTTTTAAAACTTAAATCTTGAAATCAAAATAATGAATTAAAAAAGATCAAAGTCACTTATAATGCATAGAGAAAATTTGGCATGACTTTGTTTATCAAAAAAATATAAAAAATTAAAAAAATGACTTGATTATATTAGCCCATGAGAATTCTTATACAAATGCCTCAAAATCTAAGAGTGGTGGCCAAATCTCCACCTTTAAATCCGAAAGAGCTCAAACTAAGATCCATAGTCTTTATTGATTTTAGGGCCAAAATTCAATGAAAAGTTAATAGCCATCAAATTAGTCTTAAAAATATTTTCTTAGCCAAAATAGTTCTATTGTTATCTTTAAAATACATTCTCCAATAAAATTTGACTATTCAAATGCCTTGATTTATGATAGATTGTGATACTTATAAAGATTAGAAGTATGGTAATTTGGATTGAAATTACATTATTTTAAAATTATTTTAAGTATCTTCTAAATTACTTCTAATTAACTTCTAATCAATTTTTAAATTAATTATGACATTATTTCTACTATAATTAGTTTTTTAAAATACTATAGTTAAAAAAGTTATATAAATAATAAGATTTAAAGCAAAATTATCCAAAATCATCTAATAATTATGCTTTCACTTAAAAACACTCATTTTTAAGGTCACAAGAAAAATATACTAGGCTACTACAACTATATGATGTTATGACCAACTAATAAGCGACTTTAACTTATTAATCAAAAATATTATATTAGTTATCTATAAATATATATAGATATATATAAAACAAAAATTTATATATTTTTTAATAATTTTAAATATATTAATTTATTTTTATTATTATTATTGTATTAAAAAAATTATACTTAATTAGTAAATTAGATTTAAAAAAAGAAAATAATTTCAATCATATATTAATATCAAAGCTAGTTAATAGTTTTAGAATCTTTCTTAAGAAATATTTTTTATAGCTTATGCAACAAGATACTTGAAGTTTGAACCAAATAGTACAAATAAAATTTAAAATAATATTAAATATAATATGTTCCATTTCTTTGATAAATATTATATTTTTTATGGAATATATATACAATTTTAGTTATATTGTGAGTAAAATCTTATTTTTTTTGTATTTATTAATATACTCTAGATGAAGACTTAATTTATAACTAAAATTCTAGATCGTTTCCTTAAATTATTTTATAATAGTTCTATAATATTTATTTTATTTAATTTTTAAATTATAAAATACTTAAAAATCTAGAATCGATGCCCTAGAAGTTATAAAATATATTGATGCCTTAGAATTTTTAAAAATTAAATAAAATTATATTTTATATGAAAAAATATTTTTAAAGATAAAACCGTTATTTACACTTATTTTTAAAAAATTATAATTGTTTCTTTTTTAAATAATTAATAATATTTTTTGAATTTTTATGACTTTTTTTATCACATATATTCTGTAATTCAATTTCAAATAAAAATTTATTCACTGTTAGTAATTTAATTTAAGTTTAAAAGAAATATACTTGTAATATTTATGTATTTATATATAGAAAAATAATGTCATTTTTTATAAAAATTATTTTTAGTGCTAATATGCTACAATTTTTTTTTTATAAAATAGAAATTTATTTAGTAAGTGAATGGATTTTTTTCTAAATTAATTAATTATTTTATTTATTAAATTATTTAAAAAATAAATATAATGACTTAAATTGACTCATTATTAGTTGGTAATTTTATTAAAGAAATAAAATAAATAATCCTCAACCAAGAAGAAATTTATAAATTTATACACAATAAAAGCATGAAATAAAAAGATTCTTTCTTCCAACACTCTTTACTTATACATTGTTGTGATATAGCACAATCATTAGGAAAAAGGAAAAAAAAATGATGTTATTATTGAAGAACTTAAATGAAAATATTATGGCAATTTATGTTAGAAATATTGATAATAAAGAAGGAGGTAGAAAAAGTTAATAATTACTATTGCTGCTATATTATAAAAAGAATTTCTACTTAATTTATAGAGCAATAAATGAAGCAAATGAAAGAAGATAACAAATCTAATTCATATAGGCATATTTATAAAATTATTGAAAATAGTTTTTAGCAAAATTTACCTTAAGATACTAAGAATTGATATCATAAAAAGACATGTTGTAAACCAAGGTCAAAATTATAACTTGAGGCATAAAAACATGCACCTATGGCAATTCTAGGATTTTTTGGTTGATTGAAGAATGAAAGTTGAAAAAACCTTGTAAAAGGTTCTTTAAAATTTTATTTTAAGTCATTTGAGTTTGTATTGACTTTATAAAACCTTTACAAAGTTAAAATTGTTTTGAAGTTACTTTGGATTTTGAAAATCATAAAGGACTATATGATATGAAAAATATTATAAGATTTGTTTATGTTCTACTAGTGAAATTTTGTAATTGCATGATTGATGTTTTATAGAATCTATGTTATATATTTAAGTTTGATTTCATGGTTTATTTAAAGGTTATTAGATTTCAAATATGTTGAAATTTGAAGAATTGGAGTTTACAAGACTAGTGAAAGGTTTTATGATTTACAACAATTTATTGGTGGAATATATTAATATTTTTTATTAATATTTTATTTAATTTTTAATTATATTAAATTTTTTGAAAGCCATTAAATAGTAAAATTAAGAGATATTGGCTCCAAAAAATTATCATTAAGATTGGAGAAGAAAATTGACCAACATCCAAGTGAATTTTAGAATTTATCTTCTATCTGGTGAATTCATCTTCTTTAAATTTTTTATGCTTATTTTCAACTTAATAATTGAAAGGTATAAAAATTTATAATCAAAATTGATAAGTAGATTATTTATTATTAGAATTTTAATTTATTATAGAATTTATTAAGAGTTTATTTAAGGTTTAAGATTTGATTAGAATTCCACTAAGATTTGATTTAGGATTCAAGATTTGATTAGAATCTGGTTTAGAATTTAAGATTCAATTAAGATCTGATTAGGATTTTTTAAATTTTGATTAGAATTTTTTTAGGATTTGATTAAAATTTGATTTAGTGTTTAGGATTTTATTAGGAATTTAAATAGGAGTTGATTTTGGATATAGAATTTACTTAGAGTTTATTTATGAAATTTTTTATTATTTCTTTAGGATTATTTGATATATATATATATAAAGATTAATTTATAATTTCTTTAAATCTCTTTTGTAATTTCTTTTAAACTTCTTTTGAATTTAATTATATTTTGATTAATATTATTAAGGTTTAATTAGAGTTTTTTTAGGATTCTACTAGAGTTGTTAGGACTTTTTTATTATAGTTTTTATTCTACGTTTTACAACCATGTGCATAACGCAATATCAATCAAACTTTTTACAATACAACAATGTTGTTATATATGTTCTTATGAGTGACTTACATCACTTAACTTTGTTATGTATCATTAGATATATCTGTAATATCTTTTTGGATTTGGCTTACTACAAAGATAATCCTTAGCAAATTCTTGAGGCTTCTACCTATATTTAAAATATTTCTTAATAGATCTTTTATTTTCTTCACATTGTCTCTTGAACTTTGATCTAGTAGTATGGTGTTATAACACGATTATATGATGAAAGAAAAAAATATAGGTTCCATTATAAAATAGCCTAATTAAAAAAAATTAGAAAAAAAACATAAGTAAAAAATATGGTGGTAGTGAAAATATTGAGTATAAATATTTTTGTATTATTAAAAAAAAAACTACTTATTGTGTATAATCATAAATAAAAAAAATAATTAGATTAAAAAATAAATAATATAGACATATTAAAAAGAGAGCTAAAAATAGTTTGTAGCAAAGATTACCTCATAATACTACAAATTGATACTTAGAAAAGACCAATAGTGAGTCAAGATTAAAATCAAAGCTTGAGGTATAAGACTCCACATCTATAGAAATTTTAGG